TGTTTCTCCTTGGCTAGCAAAGCAATAAGCCTTCTTTTTTCCTTTTTCTCAAAACTGTGTCCTTGCCGGGCGCACACAGCTATAATCCCAGCGGCTCAGGAGGCGAGACTGGAGGCTCACTTCAAAGCCAGCCTCAGCAATTTAGTGAGGTCCAAAGCAACTCAGTGAGACCCTGTCTCTAAATAAAATAGGGATGGGGATGTGGCTGAGTGCTCCTGAGTTCAATCCCTGGTACTCAAAACAAACAACAAACAAAAACAACTGTGTCCTTGTTATTGGATTGGCATCGAGGACAAGGACTGAGCTTTTAGCAACACAAATACTAYGCTACTTTATTTAAGGAATTTGAGCATCCGTGGATTTTGGTATCCACAGGGTGGTGGGGTGGGGGTCCTAGAAGCAATTCTGCCTCCAGTATCAAGGAAAACCTGTAAACTATAAGAACTTGGTATATGGCAATGAACTCTACATTGCCATCAAAATTGGGACTGTGAAAGATGATTTAATGCCTTGGAAATATGTCAATGATATATTTTGAAGGAGGAAAATGGCAGATTACAGATGGGTATGCTCAGCAGACTTCCATTTTCATAACAAAACAAAAACCGAATACATTTAAAAATTAGAAGAGACTGGAAAGACTTGGCCCTACATGGGGTTATGGTAGGATAGTGTTTTTTGTTTTTGTTTTGTAATACATTATAGATGTTATTTGTGTATGACAAAGTTTGTACTCCTCATCTATGGTGAGAAAAAAAAGAATTACAAATAAGTTAGGACAATTTCTTAGCTATTAGGAGAAAGAATTAAATTCAATCTCTACGTCACACCTTGCAGAAAAGAAATCTAATGGGTTAAAGTATTAAATGAAGTAACAAAACTTATTTTAGTATCTGACCTCTAAAAGGGAAAAAAATTCCTCAATAAACATAATAACACAAGAAAAAAAAACCCAAAGACTTTGACTATGTAAACACTTGAATTTTGCATATGATCAAAAAACTCTAGGGGGGCTTGGGATATAGCTCAGTTGGTAGAGTGCTTGCCTAGCATGCATAAGGCCCTGGGTTTAATCCCTAGTATCACCAAAAAAAAAAAAAAATCTTTAAAGAAAACTAAAAAAGGAAACACAAATTGGGAAATATTTTTAATGCATATGGCAAATATATATTATTTATACATTTTATTTATATATATCTCCAACTCATGAAAGACAGGTCCATGAGGTTGGACAYGGCAGCTCTGCCTGTAATCACAGCAACCTGGGAAGTTAAGGCAGGGGGATCACAGGTTCAAAGCCAGCCTCAGCAACTTGGCAAGACCTTGTCTCAAAATAATAATTTTTTTTTTTTTAAAAAATGCTGGGGATGTAGCTTGCTGATACAGTGTCCTTGGATTCAATCTCCAGTATAGGGGGGAAAAAAGGTACCAGAAAAGACAGGGGCTGGGAATGTAACTCAGTGGACATACTGCAAAGAAAAAAAAGGGAAAAAAAAGAAAAATCTTCCCTAATTTTCCCTTCAAACATTTCCTCCTTCCTTCACATTGCTTTCCTCCAAAAAAAAAAAAAATATATATATATATATATATATATATATATAGAGAGAGAGAGAGAGAGAGAGAGAGAGAGAGAGCATGCACCAGTAATCTCTGAGCACTTACTACATGCCAACCACTTTCCTAAGTGCTTCACATGCATCAGCTGAATTCTCACCAGGCATGAAGCGTCCCCATTTTACAGATGAGGTAACCAAGGCACAGAGATTACATAACCAGAGCACACAGCTGAGGTGTAAGGTAAAAATGCACTGTTGGGTTTGCAAGGACAGAGGGAACCGCCCTCTTCTCTGAGCCTCGGCCCCACCCCCTGGAGTGACCGGCCCACCCCTGCTCACTTCCTCATCTTCCATTTACCATTCAACCCATTGTCCTTTGGTTTCTGTTCCACTCCTTCCACTGAAAACCTCTCTGACAAAGAATACCGGCGACCTCTTGGTTGCCAAACCTGGAGAACACCTTTTGCCCTTGATCTTGCCTGACCTGTCAACCACAGTGTTGGCTCTGTGGTCAGACCTTCCTTGAATTCCCCTTCCTTGATTTATCTGACCCCAACTCTTTTTGGGGGCTTCTGATGCTAATTCTCTGCCTCGATTTCTCTCTTCTTTCTGCTCAGCTCTTCTACATTTGCATGTTGAGGGCTGTCTGGGGTCTTGGGTGATGGTCTATATTTAAAAGTCTAGAATCACCTCCCAGATTTTCTCCTGAGTTCCAGGTTCACAGCATGGAATTACTGGACATTTTATTTTCGTCTTGTTTTCCCAAAGGCATGACACATTGGGTGTGACCTGAACTGAAGTGGKTCACCATCTCTCCCTTCTTGGATTCCCTAATTCTGAGCCTGACGTCCACTCCACTGCCCACACCAGGACTTAAAAGTCCATCTGACTTCCCCTGACTCTGTTTGATAACAGCTTTTCAAACCCTGATACTCATACCCACAGCCACTACCCCAGCACTTCATCATTTCTTGATAGAATTCCTATAAATGTGCTGCCTCCAGTGTATTGATTACATTCCAACCAAAGTGGTTTTTCCAAAAATTTCAGTACGTGGCTTTGCATCCTTTCTCTAGCCCTTTTCTACTTGCTGTGCCCTTTGTCTAGGTTGGCTCTTCCTGGCATTATTTGTCTGATACTTGTCCCTCAAGAATTCATCATTTAGGAAGCTGTCTCTGATAGTTTCTGTCTAATCATCCATCCACCTATCCACCCATCCATCCATCCATCCATCCAATATTAATGAGGATATACTATGTTGCAAAAACTGAGTACAAAGTCTTTGTTTCCACAGAGACAAGAACTATATTGCAAACGTGTTTTGATCTTCCCCTCCGAAAGGCAAGCTGTTGGAAGGAAGGAGCTTGCTGTGTTCATCTTTGAAGATGCAGTGCTTTGAACACATGGCCCCGTGAAATAAGGAAGGTTAACCGACTTATGACCCTGTCTGACTGACTATGCCTAACAGCTTAACATGCCTATCAAAAATACATAAATAAATAAAAGCTAAAGCAATACCAAAAAATCGGAAGGAAGTCTGGTTTGTTTGGACTTGTTCTTAGTGACCCCCTGCTGACCCCTTAGTAATCCCTGCTTTTGTTGTTGTTGTCCTCTGTTCTACATGCTCATGAATCACATCGAGAACGGACTGACCCTGCTCTGTGGCTTTGATTCTCTACCTCCCAAATTGGTGTGGCAGAAATCTCGCCCGGGTCTGTTTACTCCCCATTCGTGAGGGCGATATTTGCTCAACAATGTGGGTAGGGATGTCCCAAGTTCAGAGCAAAAAGTCAGAGGGCAGGATTCGCTCTTTCTTCTTGAACTTTTGCAAGCTCTCCTCTCAGATGCTGCGAGAGGTAGAAGGCAGGGAGAGGGCAGAAGGGTAAGGGGTGGAGGGGCTGCAGAACCCAGGTCCTGCCTCAGCTACTGAGGCAGGGGGGATCATGAAYTCAAAGGCAGCCTCAGCAAAAGCCAGGCTCTAAGCAACTCCGTGAGACCCTGTCTCTAAAATAAAATATAAAATAAGGCTGAGGATAGGATGTGGCTCAGTGGTTGAGTGCCCCTGAGTTCAACCCCTGGTACCTACTCCCTCCTTAAAAAAAAACAAAAAAACCACCCAGRTCCTTCTTCCCAGTGCAGATGAGACACTATGGGAAACCAGGCATCAAAACATCACTGTTGTCTTCTGGGAATTTCGTGACTCCCCAGTGAACAGAGGTATCTGTGGTCTGTCTCCCAGGATCTAGCACATAGGAGGCACTCAGAAATAATAACTGTTGAATGGGTAGTGATGGATGGCTATCGGAGCCCCCAATGCCCGCCATATTGCTTCAGAACCCAATCCAGAGCCATCTGCAGCTGAGCAAGGTGCATTGCTTTGGCTTCTCTTTTACTGGAGTTTGAAGCCAATATAGATCCTTGTGCTTGTCTCCCAGAGATTCCGGTTTAGGAGATGTGAGCCTCATGAGCAACTGGGTTTGGAAACCACTGCTCTGGGGGAAAATTTGTGAGGGATGAAGGCTAGGAAGTTTAATACGGGGCATGAAGTTCAGATACAAATCAAGGCATGAATGGAGAGTCCACAGAGAAAATGCTTGAGGGATTTTTTTTTCTCTCCCACAAATGTTAAAATACCACCAAGAAGAAATGAAAAGTAAAATTAAAATGGATGCTGTTTTTTTTTTTCTGAACAGATTAGAAAAGATTAAAAGTCAAATAATAGGCTGGGTGTGTGGTGGTGCATGCCTGTAATCCCAGTGGCTCGGGAGGCTGAGGCAGGGGGAACCACAAGTTCAAGGGCAACTTCAACAACTTACAGAGGCACTAAGCAACTTTGCAAGTCCTTGTTTCAAAATAAAAAATATAAAGGGCTGGGGATGTGGCTCAGTGGTTAAGTGCCCCTGCATTGAGTATTCTCAGCACTCAGTGAGGTCAGAGGTCACAGACTTGGAGAAAGAAGGGATTCTAGGTAAAGGTTAAATCGATGGGAGTCTGAGGGGCTGAAGCAGAATTTGAATAGCCCAGTGGCTTTTAACTGGTCTTTAAATAGTTGTTTTCATGCCCTCATAGGATTCTAGAATCCTAGAAAGGAGGATGTTAATCTGCTCTATTTGTTTAATTGACAAATATATAATGAGTGTCTGACACTTTGCTTCCATCACAAGTTCCAAAAATGCTAGGGCTTTTTGGGGAGGGGGTTGGAGGGAACAAGGGAGGTTCCTTAAATTCTTAAAATGGCATCCTGCCTTGTCCATCCCTAGAGAAGATGCAAAGAGAACCTCTGTGTATCTACCAGAATGACCGTCGGGGTGACCACTAGAAAACACAGAACCTAGCTCCCTTTGAAATAAGCACCCTTTTCCATAAGCCGTGCCTCGCGCTGGTTATCCTTGAAAACAAGATGTCCTCCTCCCCAAGTATAGGGAACTCGGAGTCGTCTCTTACCAGATGCATCCCAATGGAGGTTGACATGGCGGTCTCGATCTCGGTTCCCACGTCTTCAATGAAGGGATACTCATCCTGCCGATGGATGAGCACCTTAGCGCCCGTGGAGGACACAAGGAAGGGGTTGTACTCTTCTTCGTTGATGTACAGGATGACCTGCAGCCCTGAAAAGATAAGGTTCTGTGGTCAAAACTCCACAAAGCATTCCCTGGGTGGGGGGGGACCCCCCCTGGGTGGTTTGGTAGGCTCAAACCCAAGGCCCAGCAACTGATGGGCAGAGTGAAGGCTCGATGGGAGGCAGGCTAGACCAGAAGCTAGACCRGAAGCTGTGTGAGAGCAAGAGCTGTGCCTGGCTTGCTCACCGCTGTGTCCTCAGGACTCAGCCCCACGTAGGGGCTCCAATGCAGGATCACTGTCACAAGTCTGGCTCAGCACAAGTTCTTGCYGAGCATGAAGGAATGGCTGCTCTGAGACACACGTGGTCCTTTGAGCTGAGAAGTTTGGCTGGACATCTAAAGGGACATGCAGAGCCATGGCTACTGACTGACACTCTCAGGCAATCACCCAAACACACCGGTTTTGATTTCTGTTTCTAGAAACACATCCCATTCATTTGATTCTCAGAGCCTTTGTGTTTGCTAGACCCTGGAATTCTCTCTGGTGTGGACCTTCTCATCCTTAAATAGGATGACCTCTCCGGGAGGGCTTTCCTGAACCTCCTTTTCCACCTCAAACCCCATCCTCACCCCAGCTCCTCTGTCTTCCCCTTTCTGCTTTCTTCTCCACATTCCACTCGTTAGTACTGGCGACTAGTTAATGTCTATGCATGTGTTTGTCCCTTGCTTCAGAAGGCAGAGGGRACATCTGTCTTGTTCACCGCTGCATCTCTGCTACCTAGAGGAGCCCCTTGCGCAGAGCAGATATCAAACCAGTCAATGAACGAGTGTATGATCAGAGTCCAWCAGAGTGTACACGAACTGAAAGAAGACAACTTAAGAGTTATTCTGACATCTTCTGTTTATGTACAAAGGAACGAAAACCCAGAGAGAGAGACAGGGATTAGCTAGAGGTCACAAAGCCCTGTGCAGTAGAACCAGAACTCTGCACGTCTCCATGGTCAGTACCCAGATAGCTTCTTCCACTGAAGATGGTGGAAGAATCCACAGAATCCTACTGTGCTCTGAACCAGAGTTTCTTGCAGTCTGGGTGAGAACACAGACTATAAATGACAAAGGTCTGGATTCCAAACGTGGACTTCTAGTATGACAGGGTCTTGCCTTTCCTGGTGGGTGCATTATTTATGAAATCATGTTGCACAGGACACTTCAATAATTCCTTTTGTGGGTAAGCCAGGCCAACTAGTTGGGGTCCCTAACTTTTCTACAAAAGGAGTAGAGATTATAGTATTGGCAGGAGCAATGGCAGCATAGGTGACAGTAGTCTTGTAGTCTTGGGACTAGGAAGTAATGTCAGCAGCTAGCATTTGTTGTGCATATGGTGTGTGTATGGCTGAATGGTCTCCTGCCTCCCCAAGTTCATGGGTCTTCAGCCCTAACCCCCAACGTGAGGGTATTTGGAGACAGGACTTCATTAAGGTCCAATGACATCCTAAAGGGTGTGGCTCTAATCTGAGAGGGTTGGGGTTCTTTTAAGACAAGGGAGAGACACCATAGCACTCCTCCACTTGCAACAGAGGCTACTGGGGATCCAGACAGAAGACAGCCATCTGCAACCCGAGGAGCAAAGTCTTGCCAGAAACCAGATTTGCATYATCTTGGAATCCCCAGCCTCCAGAACTGTGAGAAATAAATGTCTGTGGTGCACACCACCCGGTCTASAGCACCTTGTGAGGGTAGCCTGAGCACATCCAGAGAGCGTGCAGCAGATTTCTCCGTGGGAGATAACTATTATCAGTCTCACTTTACAGAGGAAGGGCAGTCACGTGCCCAAGGTCACACAAGGAGAGGCAGAGCTGGGCTCTGGCTCCAGAATCTGTCATCTTCACTAAGATAAAGGCGTGTCTACCTCCTTAATCTCCTACTCAGCACCTTCCAGGTTTAACTCCATCCAGAAGCCACCTGCCCGGCATTACTCACCCCAGCCACAAGCTTAAACCAGAAAGGCGTCTCCGCAGCAGGAAGCCTGCGGTGTGTCCCTTGTGCCTCTCTCAAGGGTAAAGAAGAGAAGTCAAAAAAAAAAAAAAGAAGAAGAAGACAACAGACCCCCAGACTGAAGAGAGTAGGCAACATGGGCACCGATGGAGATGCTGGACGGACGGGGAAATTAGCGTCTGGTTTGGGGCCAGGTGGAGAGATCTGTATTTCTGGAAGCTCCAGCACACCCCTGGGTTATCCTGCTGCCACCACACTCGCTGTCAGAGGGCCCGGGGGTCTCCTTACCGTACTCACTGCCCCCCATGGAGGTGCTAAGGATGCTCTCGTTTTCTCTGTTGTTGAACGTGTAGCAATTCCCATACATGGGATGGTGGAAGAGTGTGAAGTTCCTATAGACGGAGCAAACGGGTCAGAAAGGGCTGGGCTGGGGACTCCCCCGCGTGCCCCACAGCTGAAGTCTGGAAGGGCCATGTTCATGGGGACACCTCTCCCTGACGACAATGGATGATGGCCCCCGACCCCCTTCCCCTGAGTTTCCTGGGCTAAAGAGAACCCCTCAAGTCAGGTTCATTAGACCCTGGTTTCCATGCCCCCCCCTTAGCCCTTTTGCAGCTTCTCTGATCTGATGTGGCCATCCCTGTGCCCCACGTTTGCTGCAGATTCTCCACTCTTGAATTTCTCAGCCAACATGTGCACTTTTTTTTTTTTTTCCATTCCAATTCCCAATCCTCGGAAACGCTCCCCAGAGAAGAAATCCCATCGTAGGACTTATGGGACATAAAGAACCCATCATTCAGAGAACTCTCATTCCAATCACTCTGTTTTTTTTGCAGGGACCAATATGTCCCCTAACACATAGACAGGTGGCAGAGGTTTAGTGTTTAAAAACAAAAAATGAGACAAATCCATAGGACAAGCAAGACCCCTCAGCATGTCCCACCTACTCCCAGTCACCACCAGGAATCTGAGTGTAATCGTCCAAGGGGAAAGGTTGGAAGGCTCACAAATGTGAACATAGGCTTTTCTTTATTCCCTCCCTCCCTCCTTGTCTCCCTTCCTTCCTCCGTAGGAGAGTGTTGGCTCTCAAACACTGGTCCGCATCCTAGTAACATGCAAAGTTAGACACGCACACTGTCAACCACTCCAGGGCATGATGAGTAATTTCATGAGTTTAAAGCTAGTGTGAGCCCATGCCATGCACTCAACTCCCTGATTCTAGAACCAGCTCCTGTGGGCGTGCAAGGAGCCTGGCTCAGAGCTGCCTGCATTCAGAGGCTGAGAGAACTGCCTCCCCCTCCCACCTGGCATTGCAGGACATCCCGTCAAAGAAGCAGGTGACCAGCAGCTCCTCTGCAGAGTAGCTCATGTTGATCTTCTTCTCCAGAGGCACCTGGGCCATGATGTTCATGTAATGCAGCTTGTACCACTCCTGGATGGCGTTGATGCCCGAGCTGAAGGTGTAGGTGGCACAGTCCGAGGTGTCGTTGGAACACTGTAAATAAGAGGAGCTGGGCTGTTACCAGGAGATCTGCTACCTTTTGGAAGGACCGTCAGGATAAGTCATTGAAACTTCGGGTCAGATAATCAGAGGAACAGGAGAGAAGCCTGGGATAAGAATGGTTTTCCTGCCAGGCAGGGTGGCGCATGCCTGTGATCCCAGCAGCTCAGGAGGCTGAGGCAGGAGGATCCCAGGTTCAAAGCCAGCCTCAGCAACAGCAAGGCGCTAAGCAACTCAGTGAGACCCTGTCTCTAAATAAAATACAAAATAGGGCTGGGGATGGGGCTCAGTGGTCGAGTGCCCCTGAGTTTAATCCCCAGTACCCTTCCCCCCTTTRCTTCTGGGGTCTGGGAGAAGTCAGCCTCGAGCCTTCAGGATAGGAAAGAGGTTAGTGAAGAAGGACACTGAGTCCCACTCTTACGACTCCCTACTTCTGTCTGCCACAGGTAAGAAGCCAAACTACCTTTTTKGGGGGTTCCCTGGATATTTGGGGTTTGGCTCAAATGCTTCTGAGTTCCTACACAACCCATCCTGCTTCCTGCTACATAATCAGTTTAGAAACCTGGATTCTAGCCCAGAATCTGATACTACTTCTCTRCAGGATCTTAGGCGAGGCCTTATGCATCCATTCTGTCACTTGCAAAATATTGACTGGACTATCTCATCCTCACCAAGTGCATAGAGTGGCGGAGAGGACCCACGTCTGAATGATACGATAATGAGAGCTTTATAAGGAAGTCATGATACATTCCAGGTGTTTTCTTCAGGGCTTGGAAAGTCTTTGGAAAGGATAGATATCAAGGAATGGACTGGAATGTGCAAGTGACTRTCCTATGAATGATCTTAGGAATGCTTAGAAGTCTCAGTGATTTTGAGGAGGGGCCATTTCTTTTTCAGGATTTGAYCCTCTTGATAAGGAAGTATCAAACAATTCAGGCTATAAAATATAGAAGCATCTCTGTCCTCAAGCGGTGGATGGAGCATGGGGTGAGATGGAGATGGAATTTATTTTTAGTGAGTTAATGCTTCCCAAAAGTCTTTCAAATGGGACCAGAAGGGGAGGTGACCAATCCGGCCACAGCACCTCATGAAGACCAGCAGCACGGGGACACTGGTGTTTTGTAGTGATCTTATCTATTTTTTTTTTCCTTTGGGTGTTTGCACTCTGATTTTGCTTTGTAGGAATTTTCTTTCCCCCCTTGGATACAGTCTGGTGAGATTATCCTTCAAGATGTCCTGCCTTCCCATTATTAGCCAAGAGGACAGCAGGGGGACCCAAGCGTGGCCAACCAGGTGGTCCCAGGATGGAATCTGTATGTTAAGCAATAATAAAAAGCCTGAAAATAACTTCTTTTATTCAGCAGCAGTTTCTGAAATGACCTCATCCTTCCTTCCCACCTAGATTCCCAAATCATCTCTCATTTCTCTCTATCTGGGAGGCCCCCATGAGCTACGGGTCACCTCCTAGGACATTCCCCCCATGTTCTAGGATTGCCTGAGTCAGATTCACTCGCTGGTAGCCCACTCACCCTCACCGGGTATATTTCTTCCAGGGGGCCTCCAGGAGCAAACGGCCTAGGAGAAGTGACCCGGTGCCCACCAGCCCCAGCACCTTCCAGGGCCCCAAACTGYGAGCCAGCGAGTCTTACCAGTTGGAACCCCACCATCTCCTTGGAGTCATGGACATGCACCACGTTGGAAGCCTTGTGAATGATTTTCCCGCTCACTTTCCGCTTGCGGCCCGTGATGAAGTCCCTGGCCTTGCCCCTCTCCTCCTCCTCGTTGAAGACCAGCAGCGGGACCACGTTGAGGAATTTGGGCTGCATGCCCTCCCAGGGTTCTGCCTCCCGACGTTTCCGAGAGTTCACCTCTGAAAAGCCAAATAGGGACTTCAAGGCCTCTCTGGTCTCCTTGTCCAGGTCAGCCAGAAGGTCACGCACGGCACTGTACCTGCCAGGGAYGGGAAGGTAGTGTCCGTCAGAGAAGGCAAACCCCTCCGGCAGAAAGCCACCCCGGCTCCRTGCTGTGGTCCATCAAGACGCACCAGCCTCCGCCCCCCGCCCATCCCCGTGGCCTTCCCCATTAGCCCCASTAATGGCTCATGGGTGACCCTTGCATGACATCTTGTGGCTTCACCCCTGCCACCACTGTCTGCTTGCTCTCAGGGGTGTGTTGATGAGTTTGTCCCCAACCAGCATTTCTGGAGTGGTGACCATCAGGTACCTCCCCTAATCCAGCCACAGTGAGCGCAAACAAATAACTGCCAACCAGGGGGTCAGGCTCCATCTCCACCCCACACACCCTGCCTCTGCCAGCCCGTGACCTCCAACCATAGCTGGGAGGGAGGAGGGCATGCCTGTTACCCTGACAACCCTTGAGAACACAGGGGAACAGTGACAAGTGTCTTCAGCCAGCCTGATGACGCCATTTAAAACTTTTTTTTTTCCCATTGACAAATATTCCCAGGCTCTCCCTTAACTCTCCCSTCTCTTTCCTCTCCTCCTTGCTCTGTGCATAGGCAACATGGCACAGGGATTCAGAGTACCAGTCCCACAGCTTAACTACCTGAGTTCAAATTTCCCATCCTGGTCCTTAGTGGCTGTGTGACCTTGAACAAGTCACCTGGCCTTTCTGTGTCTCCATGTCCTCGGGGCATTGGAAAGGTTCCAATGATTTATTACGTACATAGGAAACACACATATGCATACAAATAATGTAATGGTTGTGATTATGAGTTAGCATAGGGTAGCTATATTTGCACTACAGCATGAGCCAAGGGTCAAAGACTGTGCGTAGGTTGCTCAATTCTATGCCTCAGAACCTAGGCTAGACGATTTTTAGATGCTGAGTAATTATGGAACTAATAATGGCTGCAAGGAGGGAGAGAAGGAAGAAAGGAGTAATGGAAGAGACAAGGGAGGGAGGAAGAAAAGAAAGAGACTTAAGAGGTAGAGAATGAGTCTTAGACCTGATCTGGATCTTGAGCTTTTCTGACGGTTGATGACTGGCCAAGTCCGCTTGCTTTGGTAATTGTGATCATCTCCCCCCTGCCCTTCTGTTCTCTTCACCCCCRACCCCTACCCTGACAAAATTCTGCTGGATTCTCACCCGGCTGGCAGATCAGTGTTGCACGATCCCAAGGACTCTGATCACCCATTTAGAACAGGTCCTGCAGCTGCCAATGGGGTAGCACCAACGGCTGATCCAGCCCAAAGCCCTGGGGGTCAGGGCTCACTCAAATGAGGCTTAGYAGAGCCAGAATGCTTCTGGAAGTTTCTGAGTCAGCCCTGAGCTTACATTTTGTGGAGATGGAGGGTGTGGACTTGGRAAGTTGGGAAGAGTGGCTAAGCTAAAGGTTTGGTGTGAGAGTTTATGAGGGGAGGGCAGAGGGTGCTAGTTCATTCCAGACCCAACCTCCAAACTAAGCTGATCTTTGCAACCTCCGCTGTCTGCCTCCCCTGAGATAGCCCATCYCCAGAAGTAGCAGATAGACTGAAACCTTGGTACACCTTTGGAGCGCCTGGAGAGGGCAGTTCACCGATGTTGGCAATGAATTCAAATTCCTAACCGCACATCTACAGGCTGCAGGGGCTTGGGCACCCGCGGGGGTCGTGAGCTCCACGCCTGGACCCCTGCTCGCGCCTCTTACTTGTAGGGGTTCATGTTGCAGATGGTGACAGCGGGGAAATCCAGCTTCTGGAAGTGGACCTTGATGGAGACGGAGACAGTGTAGAAAGAGCACACGAGGAGCGCGCACTGCCAGATAATGAGGGCCACGGCCATCAGCGTGATCCCGATCCAGATGAGGCGGCGGAGGCGGCCGCGGGACACCACGATGCGGCGGCAGCCGTGGGTGTTGGTGTTGAGGCAGTACCACCGCATCAGGTCCTTGATGGTGGGTGCCTGAGGGCCTCGCACGGGCAGGTTCTTCTTGATTTTGGCTTTGATCTTCTCTCCGGGAGCCATGGCGAGGATGGGACTTGGCGGGCGGGCCACTTACTGGAGGGACAGAGAAGAGCAGGTGAGCTCGGGCAAGCAAGCTGGCCTGCTGCAGGTCCCTGGAGGCGAGGCACCTCAGTGACCTCCTTCCTCTTTTCCTCCGTGGGCTGGACAGTCTCCATCCTGAGGCCTTGGCCCCCTCTCCAGGACATTTGTTCTTGGCCACCACAGCTGCCGAGAGGCTGCCTCCTCCTCTTAGGGCCCCCAGGCCTAGCCCTGTGGGGGCTGGGCCAGGTGGAACCCGCGGAGACTGGCCCGACTAGCCCCAGGACCTTTCGCCTGGGTTTCTGGGGCAGCAGCCCTCGGTGCAACCCAATCARCTCCTGTCTTATCAGGTCGGGGTACTGCAACGTGCCTTATCGCTCCCACTCACCTGCCCACCTGGAGGGCAGCCTTCCTACCCCAATAGGCCCCCTGGTGCTCAGGACCGTGTCTGGCACAGAGCGGGTGCTCAGCAAGGTGTTTCTGACAGATGAAATCAACCAAGGGAGTTTTCTGGCAGCCCCTTCGATCACGTTCCTGGCCCCATTTCTTCCAGCTCATTTCCCTACTGCTTTCTTGAAAGAGGAATGATTTCTGATTCATTTCTTCTCTTTACAGACAAGCTCTTAGCGCTTCAGAGTACCTGAATAGATGTTAGAAAACAATAGTCTACAACTGACAGCCACCTAATATTTGCAGAGCACTGTGCCACATTTTTTTTTGTATTTATTTAAAGCTACCATTCATTTGGGGAATGCACCTTGATTTAATAACAGCTTCTGGGGAGAATGTTGGAAAGCAAATTATTAGATTCATCAACAGACACGATCATCTCAGTCACAGAAACGTTAGGACGTGAAATGATATTCATTTTATAAATATACTAATGTACTATGCAGTGTATATAATATATATATACTATGTGTGTGTATAATCATCTCATATTTATAATATATACATATGAGATGATTATATACATTTATAATATATTCATATTGTCTCTTAAGTCTCATAAATTTATAGTCTCTATATATTAACACACATAGTCTCTCTCTTTCTCTCTCTCTCTCTCTCTCTCTCTCTCTCTATATATATATATATATATATATTTCACCTCATGTTTCAACAATTCCACAAAGTAGGTGTACTATTATCATCTCCATGCTACAGAGGAGGAGGATGAGCTCAGAGAGGTGAATCAACTTGTATAAGATTGTACAGGAATCTTGTAGCCTTAACCACCATAGTCTGTTTCTTTGAGGGGCTTGGTTTTTGTACCGGGGACTGTTACGCCCTCTCATTAAAGCAAGAAGCTGGTTAATAGTACTTGAGACTAGAGGTAGAAAGAAAGAGAAAGAATCTTGAGTTATTTAGTTTCTAAATACTCTGGATAGTAAAGGTGACTATTTCTCAAGACTCATGAATTACCAGTATTGGGGAAGGGGTATATGCAAACTCTGTCCCCTGTGTGTTCTACAGCACCAAAGCCAAATGAGGACATGCTCTGATTTGGAGGCATACAGAGTGGGCCCCATGTCCTCAGAGGTCCCTTGTCTAACACAAGGACTTAGGTGTGCCCCCATTAAGTTCTTTAGGCAGGATTCTGAACTTGTGGAATTACTTTTTTTTTTTTCCATTATGAATCCACGGAATAGAGTCCAAAATTGGGAGCTGGACCAAAGCTGGGGTCTTTCAAAATTAACAACACTAGTGGGTTTTAAGGTTTACAATGCAAAAGAAATAGAGTGTTGGGGGTAGAGGTAAGATATCCAGAGTCAGCCAAACTGTTTCAAACCCCCCAGAGACTTCTGTGATTTTGCTAGGATGGAGAAAACCATCTATAATACCCCAAATTATGCTATTAGCCTCTTGGCAAGAGAAATAAAATTTATTTTAGTTTATTATTTGTTTATTTATTGCAAAACTGGGAATTGAACACAAGAGCGTTCTACTTCTGAGCTAAAGTTTTAGCCTTTTATAAAATTTAAAAATTTTTTTTAAAAAATTTTTTTAGTTGTCAATGGACCTTCATTTTATATACTTAAATGTGGTACTGAGAATTGAACCCAGCGCCTCACATATGCTAGGCAAGCACTCTACCACTGAGCCCCAACCCCAGCCTCCTTTTTTATTTTATTTTATTTTGAGACAGAGTTCCATGAAGTTGGTGAGGCTGGCCTTGAACCTATGATCCTTCTGCCTCTGCCTCTGGACTTGTTGCATCATTTGTTTTATAATTTTCAATATTACTCATCCTCACTTTTTCCTGTACAACATTCCCAAACCAAAAAAGAAAGAATGTAACAATTGTTTTTTAAATCGAGGTCCGGGTTCAATGTCCTGCCAAATAATGCTGCAGCCCAGGAGAAATTTCCTCTTCTGCAAATGTTTGCCAGAAGCTGTGATTCTGGAAACTTCTGTCCCCAACTCTTATTATTCCCACTGAAGACAATACCTGGGGTCCTTCTGCTCATCAGTCCCTTCCCTGGGCCTGACCCTGACCCCAGCAGAGCAGAGGAGCCCCACCAATGCTCCCACAAATATTTCAAGTTCAAGGCAAAACAACTTTGGAGCTACTACTGAATTGTGTCACCTTTGAGGAAGAATTAGCTGCAGACGCCCTTTAAAGTGCTTTACAGGTATTACCTCATTCAATTTTCAAAACAATCTTCTCCGGTAGGCATCAGAATTTCCCCCATGGTACAAATGAAACGGAGACACCAAGGTTAAGTAGCTTGCCCAATGTCACATTAGAAAGTGGCTGAGCTGGGATTTGAATCCAGGAGTCCCTACTTTTATCTACCTGCTCTACTGCTCCTGAAATTACAGTGATAGTGGCAGTAGAAAATAATGACTGTCATTTATCAATCCCTAACTGTGTCCCGGCACCCTACTTAGTTCTTTTTACATATTACCTAATTAAATTCTCACTACAAATTATATGAGGTATGATAGATCCCCATTTCACAGAGGAGGAATCGGAGGCATAGAGAGGTAAGATAATCTGCCTTAGGTCACAAAGGTAGGAAGGATTGCAAGGACCCCCCCCAAAAAAAAAAAAATTCCAGGGTCCTGATTCATAAGAGCAAATCCCGAATGCACACCCCGGACTACCACTAAGCTCGCCTATTCCCCATGTCACCGTGAAGGAACCTGGGGAGGGGTGAGAAATTTGCTCCATGTCTTGGGCAGGGTTGGTTCGCAGAACTTGGAAGCCACCAGGGACCTAAGCTGATGCGCGCCCCTGCTGTCGCGCTGCAAGGAGATCCCCTGAGCCTCGGACCCGTCCGGAGCCGCTGCAAATCCTGCCCGCCCTTGCGCGGAGCGACTGGGCGCTGTCCTGTGGCCAAAGCCCCCTCTGTCCCCCGGCTGCTCCAGGACAGCTCAGGCCGAGTCCGCCCGCTCAAGAGAGCAGCCAGCCGGCTTCAAGTGTTTGCTTCTTTCTGCAACAAGAGTCCACCTCCGAAGAAAGCATTCCAGAGCGTAAAAGGAGCAGCCGCGGTCCAGTCCACGCGCTTCACCGAGGCGGGGAAGGGGGATCGGGGGAGGGTAGCCCAGGAATGACCATCGCCCAGCGCTGTGACCCGAGCCACGGCGCGAATAGACTAGAGAGCCGCATCGATCGCCCCGGGAAAGGTGTCCCTGCATCCTGGTCACCGGCTAGCAGCCGCAGTGATGCCGGCCGGGCCACCCACCCACCGGGCGATCCGCGCGTCCGGGAGGCCACCGCGTACCGCGGCACTCTGGTGTCTGAAACCCTGGCCGGTCCGACCCAGCCCGGCTAGCTCACCTCTCGGCTCCGAAGGATGGGGGTTCGCGTGTGCACCATCCGGGTACGCTCCTTTTCTGCTCTCCTCACCAGGCAAGCATCCCCAGTTGGCGCGCCCCAGGGCTCTTGTGGGAGGGCCTGGGCCCCGCCTCTAGAGCCCAGCCCCCTCAGGTTCTGCCCCCTCCTACCTGTCCAGGTGTGTTCCCCAGCCCGCCGAGAACTGGCGACCAGCCCAGAGCGGGCCACAACTCCGCAGCGCCACCTGCCGTCCCGAGGCAAGCTCTGCGCCCCAGCTGGGCTGGTCCTGAGCCGTTCTATGTGGCAAAGCGAGTGCCTGCTGCCGCCCGGAGGCCACCCTGCACCTTGCATTTCCCTGGGTCTCGGTAGCACAAGGCACCTCGCAATTCCTCCTGCTGCTCTGTTACTGACCAGGGGCCTTTCCTTCTGCTCCAGATCACAGGTGCCTTCCTGCCCCAGGCCACCCATCGTTTGGTCTGTTCAAGTGCCTTTTTGTAAGGGACTCAGGCAGATAACCAGCAGAAATGAGTTTGAAAATTGCAACTGGGAGGAACCACATTGAGACCCCTCCGCCACTGTCCCTTTTGAGTCGAGAAGAATTGCAGACCCCAGGAGGGAAAGGGGTCTATTCTCACTCAGAGCTTCTCAGATGCACGGTCACCTACTGACGTCTTGTTAAAATGCAGGGGTAGGGTGGTTCTTGAGAGTCTGGGTGTCTGCCTTCCCTGGAGATGCCTCTGTTGATGGCCCAAGATGACACTTGGAGCCGCAAGGGTTACTTACTGGCCCCGGTGGTGGAAACAAGCCCAGCATTACTGGAGGGCARCTTAAAGAAAATCTTTAAAAAAACYCCACCGTTTTTTCTTACAATATATGCTCATTGTGAAGAATTTAAATGGTAATCACATCCCCCACTAAATAAGCACTGTTAACAGTAAGGTTATTATTTTGTATATATACCTACACACATGTCTACTACATACATATATGAATGTGTGTGTGTGTGTGTGTGTGTGAATGATAGGATTTTGAAATATATGCTGTTCCTAAATTTCTGAAGTGTGTTTTGATGATTATACATCATATTTTTCCTCATTGTAAAATGAAGTCTGTTTTTTCACCTCATGATACATTATAGGCAACTTTTCCTTACTTAAAATGTACATTTGCTTGAGTATTCCATTCACATAATTGAATC